GGTGAGGTCATACGGTACTGTCTCGTCACGGCGTTATCGGGTGAAAGATTCGCAAGAGATAAAAAGGCGGAAAAAGAACCAAAAAAGAAAGAAAGAAAGAAAGAGAAAAAGAGTGAGGAAAGACGAGTTGTTATTGCCACGGACAGAACAGCACACACTTTACTATTATCACTCACCACTCTTACCACTACCTTTTAACACCACACCTTTATTCCTCTTTATCTACACGCACCTCACTTCTTCTTCTTTCTCACAAGCAGAAGAAGCGACCACCACGTGATCCCCATTAAGCTTGAGCTCGGACCACGTGGATCGTTCTTGCAGTAAAAAAGTGTTTGCAGGAGGAGATACCCGTACAGAGAGAGAGATACGCGTAGAGGAAGTCGAAGAGGAAGATATCTTTGATTGCCTTCTCTCATACACTCCTCGTCCTTCTGGACCCTTGGGGAATCCCCCGTCCACGGCTCAATCAACCCTGCATGGTCACATCCTGCTTCCCAACTTCAGTCAATCTACCACGGCATACATAACATACAAAAGCACCCCCCTTCTTCCACACAAGGTACGAGTTTCATTGTTTGTCCCCATCGACTACCACTCCCACTAGGACAATCATTCTTCCGCTTGCGGCGACGTATACTGACTCCGTCCGCCAGCAATGACAGATCAGGACAACTCCTACAGACCCCGTTCCCCCGATTTCTCGGGCTTCCCCGCCACCTTCCAACCCTCCGACCCCTACCACCAGTCCCCTTACCCTCCCCTCACCAGCCCCATCGCCCACCGCGCCTCCTACGACGCTTCCCCCTTCTTCCCCCCGCAGTTCTCCCCCACCGCCCAGAACCCCAACCCCCAGTACTTCGACTCCCACGCCGGCGACATGGCCAGACGCACCCGTTCCCAGGCCCTCGCCGAGGCAAACCAGTGGCAGCAGCAGCAGAGGCAGCATCAACCACTGCAGCCCTACCCGGAAGCGGAACTGCCTCCCCAGATCCCCCCTCCCCAACCCATCGCCCAGAAAGAGATGCACTTCGAACCTCCTCCAGAGCCAGCCCGCACCACCCCCGCCATCGAGGTCAAGACCAAGTTTCCCGTCGCGAGGATCAAGCGCATCATGCAGGCCGACGAGGATGTCGGGAAGGTCGCCCAGGTTACCCCCATTGCCGTCTGTACGTACTACCCAACTCTCTACCTGTGATATGTGATACTGATCCCGTCTCTAGCCAAGGCACTCGAGTTATTCATGATCTCCTTGGTCACCAAAGCGTCACAAGAGGCCAAGGATCGATCGTCGAAACGCATCGCTGCCGTCCACCTGAAACGCGCTGTCGCCAAAGACGAGGTCCTCGACTTCCTGGCCGACATCATCTCCAAGGTCCCCGACCAACAACCTGGCAAGAAGGACGAAGACGGAAGTGACCACAACGATGGCAAGAAGCGCAAGGGCGGCGGCCGTCGGAAGAAGGAAGACAATGATGATTTCTAGTTCCTCATTCCGACATCTCCTTTTGTTATCATGGGCTGGCGGTTTCGGCGTGGGTGGATCTCTCGGGGGCGCTTCGGGCGCACATGTTTACGTACTTCTTATACGATATGCGGGATCTTTTTTGATTTCCTAGGATGGGTTTTCTTTCTCATGTCTTTCACTTGGTTGCATGATTCCCTCTGGTGTCAGGGGATGGAATGAGATGAGCTATAGATATTTCTTCTCTGACGACAATGATAGCATCAATTGCATGACAAGTCTTAAGCTTTACATATTTACACCTCATTGTTATTATCTGCAATTGGCATGTTTTATTGAAAAAGAAGAAGGGTAGACGTAGATGTAGCGTGGGAAATTGTTCTGGTTGATGTGGATCTTTTGGTGTTCCATCTTCCCTCTCTATCATCACCATCACCATCTGCCCTCCACATCGAGAGACCACGAACTCCGCGTCTGACCAAGATGAGAACATGCCGTTGATCAGGAATCATGGAATTTGTACGCTTCTATCTTGCATTATTGCTTTTCCTCTTCTTCCTGTCATCGGAACGACTGAACTAATTATCTGCACAGTGGTCTCGTCTCATTGGCGGTTCCGGCTCGAAGTCCTCCAAGACAGCTGCACAGGCGAATTCCTCGGGTGAGCGACTCACTTCGTTTAAGCGGTCGTGCCATACGCTTCAGGTGAATCCTCCCTCGAGATCTCTGTCTAAATACTCGCTAATGAAGGGGTACAGCAAATATGGCGATCGAAGAATACCCCCGTCGGAGAACTCTCCGCAACCCTCCACGCTCGAAGCTGCCTCGCACGCCTCAACTCCGTTCTCAGCGATGAGTCCCGGGCGCAGGCACCCCATCCATGCCTTTCCTTCGCGGCCTCGTCCCAGATATACGTCACGGTGACTAAATTGGCGCTTTCGTCGTCTGATGCGGAGATGATTAGTGCGGCGGCCGTGTTCTTTAATACCCTGATCGATGCAGAGGTGGAGGGTATTATTGATAGTCGGGCGTTTGCAAGGGCGTTGGTCGACCTGGTGAAAATATCTGCTGCGGCGGGGGAAGAGGGCGAAGGACGGCTTGTCGAGTTGTTATTTGGGGTTGCGAATAATATCCGCTTACAGCCTGAGATTCTGCACGCGTGGTTTGCGCCACAGGGGAATTATAATAGTGAGAATTATCAGGCCGCCATTCCGAATGGCGGGGAGTTTGCGGGTGCGACCCGGAAGGAGGACTTTCCGCTGTTTTATCTCCTGATTGATTATGTGCATCATGATGGGAGGCCTGGGGATTTCGCGCGTACGGGCTTGCTGTATATCATTGAGGCGGCGTCGAGGTCGAAGGATTTGGAGAGGTGGTTGATTGAGAGTGATTTGGCGACGTTGATGGCTACTGGGCTTGGGGCGTTGTATAGCCAGTTGAGCAGGTATGGCTCGAACGAGCCTGAGTGTGCAATGGATGGGCTGACATATCTTCTAGGAAACTACTCTTTTCAACGGATGAGGAAAACGTTCCACATATCATCGCCTTATCCGACCACGCCCATCTAGATGCTACAATCCAGCCCCATCATGGAGGCCACATGGATGCCTTCCTATCCTATCTTTTATTCTGGCAGGATACTATAGATCATTGCAAATCTGCCGAAGTGAACGACACACTTCTCGACCATTTCCAGGTCTTGTTTCTTCAACAACTCTTGTAGGTCTCACCTATATGATATTGCGTTGAACTTGGCTAATAATCAATTCTAGATACCCCTCTCTTTTAGAGTCCTCTGATGTAGATGGTGGCTCTACATCTGCCGTTATCACTTACTTATATCGCATTCTCGAATCGATAGACCAACCCGACATGATACACCGCATCTTACACTTCCTACTCGCCTCGCCCTCAGCACAAGAAGCCAAAGTTAAACCCCCATCGAAAAAGGCGCGCATGTCTCTCAGCAGACGGAAATCCTTGGATCTTCTAGCCTCCTTTGCTGAAGCCGCTGCTAAACCTTCTCCGTCCCTCTTCAATCTTGTTGATCTGATCTTGATGAGTATCAGGTCTAAGAACCGACAGACAGTTGTGGCTACACTACGCCTTATTACTGTGATTGTACGGAGACACCACTCTTTTGCGGGATCATTGATCAAGACCACACAAGGCCCTGAGACAAAAGGTACACCGAGGACAATCGGCGCACTTAACGTGGAAATGCAGCAAATGCTCGGAATGGCTACGTCTATCGTGGATGACCCATCACTAGACCAGTCTTATGAAAATTATCTCAAAGATGCATCTGCGATCCTCGAGTCTCGGCTATTTATCATGCCACCGCCAGGTGTCGATGTCATGGACGGGCCGGTCGATACGCCTTTACTTGTCAGGCAGGACGACGCTATATTAAGAGAATTATTGACTCTCCTGGAGTCTTTTTTCACAAACAGCACTCTCACAAACCTGGCCTTAACCGATGCAATTAGCAGTTTGGCATCTTCTAACCTTGTTTCCCTAGATGGATGGCTTCTCATAGCGCCCCGTCTTTATGAATACAAGTCTTTAATTCATTCCGACGGGAGATTGATACCGGAGGAGAATGCCGATTCGGGGAACGCTTCCTCGGAGGGCGATCCTTCCAAGGCTTTGGGGTTTGCATACGAAGAGCCATCCTGGTCTCCCGAAGATGTGGCTGCCGTACCTGCGGTTCTACGGAAGTTAATATACCAAATTGAACGATGGCACGAGGATGTCCCTGATTTCGATATCCTTATCCGAGCACGGCTTGACCTACTCCACTCCGAAGACGAAGGCAGGCGTGATCTCTCACAGGCGGATATACAGAAAGTAGAACCAACCAGCAATCCCGGCTCTAACCGACGACGGGAACCAAGTATCCGATTAGGATCTGAGGCTGGATCACCGAGGGGCCGTCAACCCCGAAAATCAGACAGGGCGGAGGCGTCACCTTCACCTGCTGCTCTTTCGACGTTTACTCGATCCAGACTCGGTTCTCCTCTACAAAGTCAGAGCCACTCCACAGGCACACCATCATCGCGAGCACGATCTACTTCTCGATCAGCCGTTGCCGACGAACTACGTAGACGTCTCGCCATGCCATTCAAACTCGATAGCGCACCCATCGCCGAATCTGCAGAACCCGGTGATGAAGACGAGAGTATCAGCAGCGTAGCTGTCCAGCAAAACACGAATGCCAACTCTGGGAGGCCGAGAGAGGAAGTCACTCTCGGTCATGTTTTGACTAATACGGTTATATTGTATGAGTTTATACTGGAGCTCTCGGCTTTGGTGCAGGTTCGGGGGAGCCTTTTTGGGGAAGCGGGATTTCTCTCATAGTCTGTCGTTTTGTATTATGAATCTCTATTGCATGTTGCTTTCAGAGAATAGATTAGAATCTTGCTAATTAATATGAATTTGAATATGTTTCTTTCCGCTGTTGGAGTATGGCATCGCCTAAGAGAAACCTGAGGGGAAGTGACGGGGGAAGAGGAACCAAAAAAAAAATATCCTATCCGCTGGGGCGGAGTCGAACCGCCGACTTCCAGATATACAATGGAGAAAATTACAGTCTGGCGCCATAAACCAACTAGACGACCAGCGGATGTTTATTGAAATTTCAAAAAGAAAATGGCTTATTATCACGATAGAAAAAGCGAACGAGCCGGAAAAAAGATCGATGCCATATGTCCTGCTAAATTGCTTGATTATTACCCAACACAAGAACACCCCTTTCACCCCCTTTACAGTTTACGATTCTAAGAAGGCTGGCGAGACTTTGAGAGAAACAATAAGCTGTCGAGAATATGAACGTCTGGGGCCTCAGTTGGAGAAGCAGCGTCGGCTTCTTCTCTCAAAGACGACAAGTGCAGACACAAGCTCAGATTCTGGAAACGAGAACAACTTTAGCCGACACCGTATCTCCTATTCAGAAAAGAAACCTCCTCTCGCGTGATATGAGGATTTACAGAGTCTAAATATCTTCCAGTTAACTGAGAAATAATCTACATTGACCCTCTCTTTCTGTTCATGCACGCCCACGCGTTCTACGATCAATCATAGTTGAGAAAGAAACGAAAGACGCTGACAGAGCTCTTGAATTCGTTTGCTCTGTGTGAATTGATTTAAAAGTTTGCGCGCAACTGAATACAGTACGATCGATCTCTTTTCATCTGATCTTTCAGACGCTTTTGTTGCGTCTCGATTCTTGAATGCATTCGCTGTGAACTCTTACTTTTTCTCCTCCAAATCGGCGCCCCGGACGTTCTGGTCCTTCTCCGGCTCTTTCATCCTCCCCATACCCCTCGTGGGAGCATTCATGCCACTTGCGAGAGTCAGATGAACACTGCGCGGCACCACCTGCATGACCGTCGCCATAAACGCATCCCCCCAACTCCCGAAAACCATCCTCTTCCGCTTACAAAGGCCGTTGTACCCCGCCATCGCGACGGCTTTGGCATCTTCCAGAGACCCGGCCGCGCCCATCATGACGGTCTCCTCGGCATGCGCCCGGGTTACGAATTGTGTATGTGTCGGGCCTGGCATGAGTTGAGTGTTGACGATCCCCGGGTATGCGCGCAGCTCCATATTCAGGGCTTCCGAGAAGGCGCGAACATAGTGCTTCGTTGCGTGGTAGAGGTTTTGGCCAGGACTTGCCATCCAGCCTGTGGTGGTAGGGTGTGAGCATATACTTGCAAAAGGCAAACGAGAAGAGTTAAACTTACCGCCAACGCTGGATACGTGCAGCAACCATCCCGACCCTTGTTTGATCATGTCTCTGCCGAACAATTGCGTGAGCTGAACCAGCGAAGTACAATTGAGAGTCGTCATCCGTTCGGCCAGGTCGGTCGGTTGCTCGAATGGATCCCCCGCTGATCCGAGACCGGCATTGTTTACCAGAACATTGACATGCAGTCCCTGCTTGATGACTTGGTCGTAAAGCTTCTGAGCCGACCCGGGTAGAGACAAGTCGCAGGTGATAGTATAGGCTGTTTTGCCATACTTATCCTTGACGTTTGTCTTGACGGCTTCGAGCTGTTCCTCGTTGCGGCCGACTAGAACTAGGTTGTGATCTTTCTCAGCAAAGATGTAGCTCAGTTCCGCCCCGATCCCGCTTGAGGCACCGGTGATGAGTACGAGACCCTGCGGCGGCTTAGGCCGGGGAAAGGCAAGGCGCAGTGGGACTATAACTACAGCGGCAGCACCGAATGCCAGCGCTGCTCGAAAATGGGTAAAAAGGGCCGCTACGCAAGCGGCCAAGATCGTGCATGCAGTAAAAAGATCGATGTTTATATCGTCGAGTACACGCCATGTGGGCTTGAAAATGGCGGGATTGCCATGTTCAATAGATCTATGGGAGGGCTGCTGTTCGGAACCTTCCTCAACCCCAGCTCGAGCGGGCGACATGTTTATGCTTTGGGGGACAAAGTATTCAGATTCTATCGCGTATAGAAGATTGATTAATTGAACAGAAGAAACCCGACGGATGAGCTCGACCGAGCCATTTTTATATACAAGAAAAGGAGATACTCAAGATGAGGTCATATGCTCACTTTCCAAACATACTTCCCTTTTCGTCATCTCGATGTCACTTGTGGCTGACTAACATCTGCGTCTTTCGATGTTGTGGCGACGGTGAACCTCTACGGGCTACGGACTCACCCAGGGTTCTGGGGTTGTTGATATGAAGAATATCACACAACTGATGATATTGCCTTTCCTATTAACTAAAGCCGCTGGCGATGCTACTAGTACTGAGACATAGTACAATTTGTTCAATGAGTCTTCAACTATGCTGTCGAAGATAAATCGACCAAAGCATTTTCCCCAGCTTTTTCCTTGATGGTACCCTTGCTGAGTTTCCAATGAGCGACTCCAAGGATGGTCAGAGGCCTAGCTTAATACTTTTCCAGTCTTGCTGGGGCCAAAATAATAATAGCCGATCCATCAATTCTCCTCGAACCCTTGGCTTGTTGGGTGTACAGGGCACGATAGGAACCCTGCTCAGCGTCTCGACCTACAGCTAGCATAACTGATATGAAAGGTTCTTGGGATACGCGTCCTTCCACTACTGCTGCTTTGCGGTGTTGGCCCAGAAGACACCGCCTCGGGTCAATACCAAGTACTCATATATACAGGCACATATATAATGCATGGATATTGTTGTTATATGGCTTGATGAATCGGCCCAGCAATCCGGGAGCGGGAACATCATGAATCTTTCACGTTCTACGAAGCAAGGGGGAGCAGATCACAAACGTGGATCTGGTCAAGACAGTTCACCTATCGTCATGCTGGTTCACATTTATTCCAGCGGAGAGGATAAACTATACTATGTAACAATTGATCGCTCTTTCGGTTGAATATGATAACACGCGCCTCGTTGAACTGGAAAATACGAGGCTAGTGTCAACGAGAATGACTGAGATTAATTTTGATTCATACTCGATTGATGAGTTTTTTGATACTCTTTAATCGAGATTTTGAGCTAGATCGAGAAGGGCTTAGCGTGATCACACTGTTTACTGTTCATCTGCGAAATCAATATGTCTGATTTAAAATATAGAAATGGTCATCAACTTCTTTGATGAGTTCTTTATCATTCGAACAACGTCGTCTAACGCATTCAAATGACCTCGCCACCCTCTCTCAATACTCCCGTGGGCGTCCCCGGACATTTGTCGACGATTCCCCCCGAGATTGCCCTCTGGATTGGCGGGTACTTGGACCTGTATGACCTGCATTCCCTTATCCGAACAGGGCGTCGATTGTACAGCTTGTTTTCCCCTCGCTTCTATAAACTAGCGCTCTCTCACGAGAAAGATGAAAATAATCCGCTAATCTGGGCGGTGCGGAATGGACATCTATCGGTAGTCCAGAAGTTGCTTGCTCAGGAGGTCTACGAGAAGCACGCCTATCGCACCCGCCTTATTCTCGGGACGACGTCGATACATGAGGCTGTAATTCACAGAAACGACGATGCGCTTCGTCTACTTCTTCCGCATCGTGCTTTTATATCCTTGCGCAATTCTCACAGAGAGACACCGCTGATGGTGGCTGTTGGTTGCAACAATATAGCTGCCATTCGCATACTACTGGACGCGGGGGCAGGGATGGACCACAGGCCGTTACAACAATGGTCCCGGGCAGTACATAAGGCAGGGTGTGAAGGTTCTGAGGGTGCCCTCCAAGTACTCCTCGATAACGCAGTTAGTAAGGGCTGGGTCCCTCAAGATTCCACCTACAAAAACATGCTAGGTGCTGTCGCCCGGAGAGGAAGGTCGAGCATGATTAGGCTGCTGTGTGACCGGGGATATGATATTCAATCGGGGCTAGCCTTCCATGAAGCATGCTGCAATGGAAATATGGAGACAGTTGAGATATTCCTTGAACAAGGAACTGATGTTAACATCCGCCACTTGGACGACACAGTGCTGTATATGTTGGCCTCCGGGGAGAATGTTGAGCTAGTGCGATATCTTGTCGATCACGGCGCGGCTGTAAATGCGGTATGCAAAGACAATAATACCCCACTGCATGAAGCCGTTGCAGAGGGAACTGTTGAGATGGTGAAGTATCTGCTCTCTGCTGGCGCAAATTTTGCTGCTGAGAATGGGCAGGGGCATACTCCATTGCATCACTTGGTCGCTAAACGGACCGACGTGGCCCTGGTGGAGGATAGAATCACAGCCCTGGTCGAAGCTGGTGCTGACATCAATCAGGGCCCGCGGACACCCTTGCATCTTGCCGCTAAACAAGGCCGGCGAGGAATGGTGGATATTCTCCTCAAACTTGGCGCCGATGTGAACCGCATGGATGATGAAGGTAGTACCCCACTCCTTGACGCTGTTTACGGAGCTACTAGCTGCACTGCAGCTGTCGTGGAGCTGCTGCTGGACGCTGGGGCCGACGCCTGGTGCGAGGACAACACGAAACATACCCCATTAATCCGCGCCGCATCGTTAGGGCTAGTGGATGTATTTCAGAAGCTTCTAGCACTATATAAGGCCAACAATATGAATTACCTGAAGAGATGCGATTGCGGACAATCAGTGCTTGAAGCGGCCGCCGACCACGGGCATACGGCAATCCTTGAGACTGCTCTCGATCAACCAGAGGACCTGAATGGCACGCCGGATGGGAAGCCATATTGGATGCCGGCGCTCCATCAGGCCATTGCAAGTGGGCAGGCCGAGACCGCTGAGTGGCTGCTCACCCATGGTGCCAATCCCCATATCCTGGATCGCTACGGGAGGAGTGCTTTAGATTGGGGGCGTCTTAATGAGGAAATGTCGACGATGATGACAAAACACTGTCCAGAAGATCGGTCCACGAATCCCCACAAACAGGAGCTCATCCTCCGCGAGAGTGTTAGTCTGCTAGCAGCACGTCTACTCGAAGACCCTAAGAATGAACGGTACTTCTACAAACTTGGCAAGTGTCTAATCTTCCTAGACGACCTCGTTACCGCGCGGGCACCACTTGCACAATGCCCCGTGTCTTGTAGCCTGTGCAAACGTGGCCTCCCGCCCGCTGATGGGCGGTTTACCTGTCTATCATGCAGCGGCACCGACTTTTGTGCTGGCTGTATGGAGGTATATGTAG